CACGGTTTTGGTCACATTTACCTGTAAGTCAGCTCCAGCGTATAAATACATTTTCCTGATCAGTCCACATTGTTATGCTCCTAGAGTCATGTCCGTCTGATAAGGCAAATTTTACTTTTTACGATCGATATATCCAATTACCCTTGACTCGCCATGTTTTTCCAATATCGATAAAAGCCGATTTACTGCTGGGGATTTTGTGTACAATTTAGAACAAAGTTACCTAATACCAACAATCGTCGTTATGTAAACTAAAAGCTTTCAGTGATAACTCATTAGGTTTCCTTGATATCGATAAATATCGATTTTACACTACATTTATATTTAAATCATAGTTTATTTCGTACTAGATGGGATGATTTTGGAGATCCTTACTATTATAACTTGTAGGTTCTTGAAAGTGTTGCCAACAGTCGCCAGTAAACTGGCATTTTGGAAACAAAAACAGCGTTGTATGACTGAATCAGTTACAAAATCAGCTTTTTTCGACGGGTAATCAATGAAAATAGCCAAACTCGGCTTAGAATTGGCAAAAGTTAAACTGTGAGATCTAAATACTTTGCGCAATAAGTGTTTGGAGCATTTCTTCTATATTTTATATCCTTTTCACTACTGAACATTGCATCGGTTTGATCTCAGCGTGCTCTTTTTTTAATGTCCAACATATCGCTAAAATATATATGAGAGTGTGTGCTGCACATAATTGAACTATTGCCTTATTTGCATGAATATATTTTAGGGTTGAGTATTAGAATTTTCTAATATTGAAGTGGTTTCTTTCTAGTTATATTGGCCGCCGTTATACCAAATCTGGGCTCGATTATCTCGCTTGTTGGTGCCGTCAGCAGCTCCGCTTTGGCGCTCATTGCGCCTCCCATTATAGAGATTATAACATACTATAATGTGGGCTATGGCCGCTATAACTGGATGCTTTGGAAGGATTTTCTAATATTAATATTTGGGCTGTGCGGTTTTGTTTTTGGCACTTGGGCGAGCTTGGCACAAATTCTGAATCCGAGCATAGATTAATTGCATCCAAACTCGAGCAGCTCCTCCAATATTTAATGATCGTGTGCGAATTTACGACGAAGGCTTTACTGTAGTCTTTTTACTACAACTCTACGATAAGTTTTTGTGTTTGATTTAGATAGATATATTTTTATTTGTGTTTAGTTTGAACGTTTAGTTTGCTTTTGTTGCCCAAGCACCTTAAAAACGTTGACGTTAACGGGTGCTTCATTTTGAATCGATTTTGTGTTAGTAATTTTAATATGTTAGTCGATTTTATTTATTTTAATTTAGCGCAAATAATTCGATTAGTACCAGACAATAATTAGCATTTTCTAGGGCTCCAAATTGTCGTTTTATGTATTTTTTTTATTTTTATTTTTTTTGTATTGTCTCATGTGAAGTTACTTTTGTTAAGGTAACATTTTTTCTTTCTGTACATTTTTAATCGAGTATCGCACAATGCCAAAAGTGATTTCGTATAGTATTCCTAAACAATGTTTGTTTAGTTTTAACTGTTTACAGTTTTAGTTTAAGGTCAGCGCCGCTCATTCCAATTGCCAATGGCCGCAACAAATTGTGTTTGAAAATATATAACTACGTATAGCTTAATTAATTTATGTGTGTGATTTCAGACGACATTATACTCTATACCATTTAGTAGATATATTTATATATATCTAGCGAATATATTATACATACAATAACTATATATATATACACACACACACAACACACACGTACAGCTACATATGCTGTGAAATATGCCTAGTTGTGAGGAGCACTCTGATATATAGTTCTCACAGTTCTTGATAATCGCTGGACACATTTCACAATATATGTTGAGTATATGTACATCAATTTATAAGTACATATATGACAGAGATTTGCTTTTTCAAACTCTGTAATTTATGACAACAACAAAACTGTAATTTCATTACAATTTTCAAAAAGTAACTAAAGACAATAAATAATTGCGTTTAAAGTTTGTAAAAATCCATTAAAATGTTTGCCTTTCTCTCTTTTTTATAAAGACTCGACTATGTTCGTACATGTTCTATAATAATAATTAATAGATACGTTTGCGAAATATTGATAGCAAACCGCGCGTCGGGCCCACTTTTTGAGCGCTGACCTAAGTTGTTGCTATCAAAACATGGGAAGCACAGCTTGATTTGATAGCAGGGACAGGGACTATCTGTAATCGCATCTGGAATCTATGATTATACAAAAGCGTAAATAATCTCTGCTAGAAATAAAGTTCGAAATATTTACGGAATGTATTAAATATAGAAAACTGAGTGACGGCATGTCATGCAGCTATAAACTGAGCTTACAGCTGTAGTAACAATTTTGCTTAGGTGATATCAGTTTTTTTTTGGTATCGATATAGATATTTTAACGTATACGTTTTTAACTATCAAGCATATATTTATTTTTATCCCTCAAACTTTTACAAGATATCTAAAACATATGCATATTTCCGTGTTAATATGCTGCTAGATATTTAAAAAAAAAACATCTTAATTCACATTCAAAAGAATTCCAAAAAATATATTTTTATTAAAATTATTCGGAATTGCCGAAAATACTTTTATGAAAAAGTTACAGTCGATCTTGGTGCAATGCATGGCTAGCGTGAGTGCGCTTATAATTCCCAAGTGCTGATTCGCTGTCGCTCACGTATATAACTGGGGTTGAGCCGCAAGTTGGGTTGTGTTGTTTGGAAGGAGAGCAAGTTAGCACTCCCCTAGACAAGGATGGAACACATAAACGAACGGCGGGGCACAAGACGAAGCCGTTCACACGTTTTTTTTTATTAATTATTTTATTTTATTCGCGTGAGTAAATCGAATTGCAAGTAGTCTAAAGCATAATGCGGTTGCCCTTTCTTTTGATTACCCATTTAAATTAAATTTAAGGGGTATAATTATTGTGCGCAAAGAGACGTTGGCATTGCCGACCCTATAGGGGGTGTATATATATATATATATATATATGTACATATTCCTCATCAGGTCAACGACTCCCCATATTATTGATAATTAAAAGATTATACTTAGTTTGTGTGGTCACATAGCATTTGAATTTATTTGCAATTTGAGTGCTGAAAGAAGCCGCTTAGTCGCTTGGGCATGGAGGATACCATTGCCAGGAGCTCCATGAAACGCAAGTCGATGTTTTGGGATCAAAGCCAGTCTGCTCTTCGCATAATACGCTAGTGGCCGTATTACCCTGGCATACCCAGTAGCGAGTGGGATCCCAGTTGTTGCGGTACCTTGTGGAGCTGGTGCCAGAGCAAGTGGGCTGTCCATTGCCATCGGGATCGCAATCGGAGCCATAGGCGACCGCCACGAACAGGGCCAGGCAGAGAAGAACGAAAGCTTCGGGAATGGAATTGAATGGCTTGATATATAGGAAACTTTCGGTTCTAAATACAAAACTCACCTGCTTTCATATTGGTCAGAGTCAGACAAGTGAATGCTTCTGAATGTGCCCAATCAGTCCGATTGTCACAGTTTATATACGCGGTTGACGTTGCCTTTCCCGGCCTGATATCTGGCCTGGCTGTAATTATTCTAGTTCTTTATTAATATAAACTTATCTAACGATGTTGTGTTCTTGTTTGTTATATGAATGGTTGTGCTCCTCGTGCATTGATAGCTACGTTGTTTCATTCAAAATGAAAACGTTCAAACTAATCTGGCTGGGGGGGGGCCTTAAATCTATTACACCACTATCTATACATATGACTAGTTAACCGCCGCCTAAGTGCCTGATTAGTAAATCCGTAATACACTACGCTCAGGTAAATCGAAATTCGTGAATTATTGTATTCCAATCAAACTCAAGCTCTGCATTAAAAAGTATATTTGGAAATGCTTGAGGCTTATAAACAAACTGCAGAAAGTATTTTATTCGAATGCTTAGATGGTGTGTAAATATATTCTATGTTTGTGGAAATCGATATACTAGATATATAAAATATTTGCTATCTATAAAAGTTAGTAAGTTTATTTCCTTGCAGACGATGTTATATAAATAATTGCAATAAGGCTTGGCTTGTTTTTATGAAAAAAAGACTCTAAGTTCTCATGTGAGATCTTCTCTCTACATCATAAAACTATCATAGGCATTTATTTATAAGATATCTTGACCAAACTAGAACCAAAATAGTCTTAATAATTTATTATGTAGCTTTATAGGAAGAATAGAAAACAGAGTTTTTTATGAAAAAAAAATATTGGAAAAAGCTTTAAAAACAGTAATCCTTTTCAAGGCTCGAACCTGGAGCCCCTCAACATCGCAGAGTTTGACCCTCAAATGATTATTGTGAATATTTATTTTTCACAATTTCCACTGTTTAGTCGGATATTGATTACAAAAACTAGATATAGTCACATAAAACTGATTTATTTGCAATTTGCGGATTCCGGGTAGGCGTGGGCGTGGAACATTGCCAGCTGCTTCAAATGATGCGCTCAGATTTTCTAGGGCTAGACACAGTAGGACGAAGACTGCGAAGGATATCTTTCAAAACTAGATGATATATCTATGGTATTTTACTCGAGACTTACAAATTTTCAGATTTCAGTCAGTGTCTGCCGAATAAGTGCTACTGCACTTGGCTACATAGTTTGCTTGCGTAGACGCTTCCTATCTCGCCCCGATACGTCTAGTGAAAATACAAAAGTTTTTTATAAATACATCATTATCTAACAATGTTTTCGTCGAGAACATAATAAAAAGTTAAAACTAATCTATTTGAAGAAGACAATCAAAATTCGCAATTTCCGCATGACATCCTGAACTAAATGAAAAATTGGCGGATTGCTCGCTCTTTTTTTTTTTTGAGTAATGCAACTAACCAGAAATTGGGAAATACCAGATATAATTTTGTTGAAATACTACTTTGATTATATACCTTTATATATGATATGATTATATGATTATATAAAATAATGATATCATAAATTAGAGGTGACCTCTCTTATTTGCTCGGTTAACAGGAGCAAGAGGATAAATTTCGGTATAAACCAAAGTAGGTGTCAAAATTATCAGTATAAAAAAAAAAAAATTTAAAGCACTAAACAATTATAAATCGAGAAGCTAACGATAACAAAATGGAGAGCAAAATATTAAAAGATTTTCGCGTATTGGAAAGATCGGTGCGCTGGTTTCGTGGCTTGTCAGCCAAACAGGTCGGTGCATGCGACAATTTGTTGCACGCCTTGCGCGACGATATTGAACAGGATTCGACATATCGTGTGCGCGATTGCCTCAATCTATTGGGACTGCATCCGATGATTAATGCCAATCAGTCGCGGGTACTGATGGGCATTAGCCAGGCGAACGATTTGGCCTTTCTCTGGTTTTTGTGGGAGTCACACTACAAGACGACACACATCTGCCAAGAGGACCGCAATGACTACACGGTCAACGAGCAGTTAATATTCACAGCTATAGCTCATCTGGACATGACATCGACATTGCGTGGCCTGGACAAGATATTGCCCACTGCGGAACATTCCAAGAAATATCAGGAGCAGCAGCGTTTGCGACAACAACAAAAGCTCGCCAGGCAGCTGCGCAGAAAAATGCAAATGAATAATCACATATGGCCCAATGATGCAGCCAAGGACTCACCGTATATGGTGCCACAATTGCGACCCAAGCCATACCTGCCCAAATTATTCAAGCCCAAGGAGCGTTCAGTGAGCTTTTCGCAATATGAACAATACAAGGATCCCATGTACAACATACCCAATGAGAGTTCGCGCTGGTTTGCCACCTACGAGCTGTCGCCGATCAAGCGCGAGGTGAAGCGTTGCCTGTCGGATGCACTGGCTCAGCTCTTTGCCAGCAGCAATTCCCGTCCATTGGATAGGTCGCTGTGTCAAGTGCATCGCATGATGGAGCATACGACGGCTCGTAAGCGACAGGAATTGACGGTGGAGGCGGTGAATCGTTGCATGCAATTGCTGGACATACCGGGCACACAGAAGCGCCAATGCAGCATTGTGCGCCAGCTGGAGCGGGAGGTGTTGCATGCCGCCAAACTGCTGCGACAGCACAACATGCGTCAGCTGATCGCGCTGCAAAAAATTGGCATAGATTATAGCAAATGCAGGGGCGGATGTCAGGCATGCGAGCTGATGGTTTCGGTTGCACCGATGCCCCGCCATGGTTCCGGTTGTCCAATTGATGTTGCATTGATACTACCAGCGGATTCGGATAGGCCAGAACAGCCGCTGTTGAATGATGATGACCTTGATTCGGGCGTACATGTCATGGAATGGGGGTCCGAGAAGAAACACAAGACCATCCGCATAGTGGAAGATCGAAACAAGCCTCCCGGCCAGACTTGTTCTGGGCCAAAAACGCGTTCGCCCCAGTTGCCTAAGGCTCAGCCCAAGGCTCAGCCTAAGGCTCAGCCTAAGGCTCAGCCCAAGGCTCAGCCTAAGGCTGATAAAAGGATTAATATCCAGATTGAAGATAAATCCATCTCAACTGAAACCTCAGAGGAAAAGTACTGCATCAGTTGCTGTCTGCCACACGGCATGCCGGAATGGAATTTCTACAAGGTCTTTGAGCCGCCGCTTCAATCAGACACACTTGGAGTCCTGTCCGATGCCCAGCCGCTTATCCGTAGCTATTGCATTGCGGCACTCCAGAAAGCGATGGAGGCCAGCGAAGAGACGGAGGCGCAAAAAGTCTATGGCCGAAAGCACATGGAGTATGTCAAGCTGAGGGAATGGAGCACATCCCGCACAGCGCTGGATGCCGCTAACAAAATGGCCGCGCATATGTTTCGCGAGGCCCAGGAAAAGCAAACGCTTTACGTCGATCAGGAGAAATCTGATAAAACGGAACGTCTGGAAATGACCAACATCGATCCGGAGAACTCACAGATGCTGATGGCGCTACTCAAACAAGCTGTAGACATATTGAAAAATGATGCCCATTATGTTCTGGTCACCCTGCCCAATGCCTACAAGTTGCCCGTGCTGCTCGACTGGGTGGCGGAGCGTTATGGGAAAACCTATAGCTATAAGCAAATGTGCGAATTGGCCAACACCAGCCAGACCGTCCACGAGCATCTCACTAGAGTGGCAATGAAGAGGGAACTTCCTTTGCCGAAATATCATAAATTTATTGGCAGACAGCTGTTAAGCGATGATGTTACCCATTATCGGAGCTATATGTGTGGATTTAAGAAAATGCGTCAAGAATATCATCAGAGATTGAATTCGTTGGCACTCGAGGAATCGCGTCTAGCTTGGTTCGCACTGCGCGGCTATACCCAGCTGCCCGGCTCCAATCCGAAAACCTTTTTTGCCTATATGCCCGCCAAGCAGCAGGATTTGATGCGCCTGAATCTGTGGCAATCGTTGGACGTTCGTCGAATTGATAAACTTCGCCGACGTGCGAAGCAGCGAAAGTATTAGCAGGCACTGTCTGTTACAGTGGCGAATATATTGAATATGATTGTCGATCGACTTTCCTTCAATATGTTCGCCACTGCAACAACGCGCCAGCTAGAGTACATATCATTTGTTTTTAAAACAATTGACTAGTGTTAACCTACAATTAAATGCATGGACAAGAATGGCTCAAATTTGCTTTAGCTTTGATAAGCGGGCGCTTTGCCGGAAGAAAAAGGTTCTTTCGGTAGGTCGTCTCTCTATGCGCTTCTCATAAAGTCTTATCAATATACAAGCTTAGCTTGTTCTTTAATTAGATTTGATTTGCTGCTTTCTTTTAGAGTCAAAATTATGTGAGAGCGTGTTCATATTTGATACTATATATAAATCAGTAGTTATAGACATCATTTTTGGAGCGCGTCATCTTTCACACGAGCCAATAATCTGTGATAAGAGCTACCGAAAATTGTTTCATTTCCCTAACACTCTCACCATGTATCGCATTTCGATAGCGTTTCTACGAAACTCTATAAAAATTCTCTATAAGCTGATAGCTGAACTTCGCACGTTTCTGATAAGAATGACGAACCGTAGACTTTCGGGACACTCGAATGTACAATTGGAAACGTTTCAATCGGATCGAAACGATTCGATCACATTGACAAGGCCAAACGAAATTTTGCATTCGCGTTTGCAGAAACTGAAAATACGAAAAAAACAATTTCAATTATTTGTTTTTAGTTTGCCAATGTCAAAAAACTTGCGCAAGAGCTTCTAACAAATTGGGCACGCCCCAAGCTGTGCCGCCTCACTCAGCGAATGCAGCGAACACGAACGGCGTTAATTTCTTAACTATCTGCATGCGATCAGCATTTGCGAGGGCTGCCTGATTATTTGTGAGCTTAAAGTTGAAGTAAATTGTATTTGCAAAATACTTTTCTCTTCAAAGTGTTCTAGATGACGCTCAGTGCAAACTTCTTACGAGTAAGCCCGACGAGTTTGGGTATATATGAATTAAAAATATAATTTTTGAAAAAAATCAACTAGCCGAGGTTTGGAAGATGAAAGGCCCGAATTACTGTAGTGATTTATATAAAGTATCACGCATTTTATATAATTATAGCCTTAACCAAATAGAATTACCTTTATGAGAAGCGCATAGAAAGGCGATTCACGAAAAGAACCTCTTTTATTCGGCTAAACGCACGAGCAAACACGTCACGCTTGGGTACATATGAATTTAAAATAGTTATAATTGTTTAAAAAAAAACTAACTAAGGTTTGAACCTGAGCTAAATGATGTGTAAACCGGAGAACAAGCCGTCTGCTGGTTCGAACCAACGGAAGTGTTTATAGTGCTAGCAAATGTTAAACTTGTTCAACACTAACAGTGTTGGCAAAGCTGAAAAGGCAGCCCTCGACAGTGATCGTAGCGAGGGTCACTCTCTGAGTTTTATTTTTTATAAAAACGGCAAGTCATGAAGTAATGTCAGGCATTTATTTATTTTTATAAACTTTATTTTATTAACCAGTTGCTGGCAAATTGGCAACTACACGCGTGCTGGCCAAGTTAATGAAGCCCGCGTGGAAAAGTGAAACACACTAACGTGCACAATTCCACAAAAATAATACAATAATACATATGTATGTACTCTCTGGCGAAAGAACTCGCCCAGTTGGCGACACTAATTGTCAATGATTGCGCGACAGACGACGGCATCGTCGTCACCGTCAGCCATGCGTCGAAGACGCTCACAATTTCAGGCTTAAATTGCCAAAGCGCAATTTGTCGCCAGTTGTGGTACAATATATGCCACTCATCTGGCATGTGGCATGTGGCAACTTTCTGGGCAAATATTTTATAAAGTCGTTGGCATCGCACTGCAACGCACTTAGTCGCAATGTACGCTAACAAACGGAAACTAGTACTCGGTCAACTGGGCCTCTGGCTCTGCCTGTGTCTGTGCCTGTGCCAGGAGCTGTGCTGGGCGCAAAATGCCAGCACAGTTGTCTGGGAGCCAAGCACTGCCAGCGGCAATGCCAATAAGCGCGAGGTGGGCAACAGATTGGACTATGCGGGCACTAATATAGCCAAAAGCTATGATCCGCCACCGGAATTCTATAGAGGACCAGGCACCACATCAAGCGGCAGCTCCACAGCCAGTCACAGTGCCAGCAGCCTGCTTGGCTCCACAGGCGTCGGCAGCGGCTCGCAGCTGGGCAACGTGGGTGAATCTCTCAGCGAGGCGTACAACAAGTGGCGTCAGAGCACTGGCCAGCACGAACGGATCAGTGTGGGTACGTAAAGCAGCTTGGCTGATCAACAAGGAACTACTACTATTACAAACACCATGACATCGCAACAGGTCATTTTGGTGGTGGCGCAGGCGCTGGTCTTGGTGCGCATATACAAAGTCCACATGGACACGCCAGCTATGCCTACGAAGGACATCCCTATGAGTATGTTGGAGGCGCCGGCCATGGGGGCTACTATGGCGGCAGCAGCAGTGCCGAGGCGGGCATACCATTCGATGTGTACGGCACGCGTCCAGGTCCAGGTCATGGCTCACATCATTTACATCATTATCCGAGCACGGGCGGCGAGTATGCCTATCTGGAAGCACATGATATAGCCAGCCACAAGGGACCGGCGGAGTTGTCGCAGAAGGCGCTGCTGGCCAAGAGTTTTCTCATACCACTGGCCAGTGCTGCAGTGCTGGGCATAGCCGCTGCTCTGGTCAGTAATCCGCTGCTGCTGCAGCTGGGCACCGTATCCGGTGTGGGCGGTGGATTTGCGCCCGTTGTGGGCAAACGCAAGAGAAGGGCGCTGCGTCGCGCCTACTCAGCGCATATATAACTTCTATTGAACATTTAAATTCATACAAATCAATATCGAAATGCTTGCCAAATAAAACTGGCATACGTAAATATCTGACAAAAGGAAAATTTAATTGTGAAAATCCTTTAACTAAGAATTCTATTCAAACAGGACTCATGTTAATAACGTGGCGGTAAATAATGTACAGTAAAAGTTATCGATTGCAACAGCTCTGCACCGCTGTTAACTAACAGTTTCTGTTAAACAGCTAAAGAGCTGTTAAATTTGAATTTCTAATTTGGTTTCTACGAATCTATGACTTTCATATGTAAGTAAATAAAATATAGAGCAACAAATGGAATTTAAGAGCAAATAATTGCTGTAAAAATTATATCCTAAGTGTGTATCAACCCATTGACCCACCATATCGCCTATGTGACTATTGTCCCTAACAGCTCTTTAAGTTAACTAAAGTAGGTAACACGCTTCTTGGCCACAACTCATTTAGCGCTCAGACAGATACAAGGACTTCACATGGCAGCACACACACACACTGACACAAAAAATATATATAATAAAAAAAATGCAACAAATATAGTCGTTCGGGCAAACGCGGATGGAAACCATAAGTACAATAATTGAAGAAAATGTCAGCTACACACGATGCTACGTGACTTAATAATGCCCCATTGTGCGCCATAATAACGGCCACAACGTGTTGCTGCGCTCTTCGGCAGCTCTTTGGTGGCGCCTCCATTGGTAAGTTTGCTTGTCATTGACCATTTCATATCGTTAAGTTTATGACTTTACTCCACAGGCACAAAACTTCAATGACAGTGTTTTTTTTCCCTGCTCCCGCGATATAAACTATTCAGTTTTAATTGTTAAGCAGAGGGTAGGGGAGAGCAAGGGGTTATGGTCCCATGACTGTCCATGCCACAGTTGTGCAAGATTGTGGTTGGGTTTGACTGAAATATATTCAAATGAACAACTATAGGATGCAATATTTCCGCTTTTTAATCACATCTTTAACTGTCAATGCCAAATTTGCGCAAGATTGAGGTTAGGTTTGATTGAAATATGTTAAAATGAACCACTGTTGAAATGAACTGTTCCACTTTTCCATGAATGTTGATCATTTACATGTTCCGAGACTGCGAATGCCGCATTTGCACAAGATTGAGGTTGGGATTGATTGCAAAAATATTAAAATGAAACACTATTGTACAAACTGTTTCGCTTTTCAATGATTTTTCTATCTCTATCATCAACATTAAATCTCTAATTTCGAATACGGTATAATGCGCAAAATTACGGCTAAGTATATGCCGAAACAAAATGTTAATTACAATTCGGTGTGGCCAAAATGTTTTTAATAAATAACAAATGAACAAAAAATAAATATATATATATAAATATAGAATAATAAAAACCATTTAGTTAGTTTGGGAAAAACGCATCAATTTGTTCAGCTGGAAACTAATTTGCATTGCTTTTCAATAATTTAGAGCATCGTGAATTTTCACTGACCAATGCCACAAAATGCCACGCCCCCTCATGTTGGGCTGCAGAGAACCAGCCGCAAAGTTAGTCGTGCAACCAAATGTGATTTTAGACATTTATGTTTCTAATTGAAATGGGGCACAATAAAATGCTATAAACCAGATATGTAATTATTCAACAAATTAAAATCTATAAATATTGCATTTAATTTGTATGCTAAAATAATAAACATCGGTTGCTGCGGTTTGTTTTGGGCCAGTTGCTGCATACGCTTGTTTGTCAGTTGGCCCAAATGATTAAATTGCGGTTAGCTAGTCAACTGGCCAAAGGGATTGGCCCCAGCTCACAGCTCACAGCTCCAGATGACAGTAATCAGTAATCAGCCATTGTGTGAAGTTCGTCAATGGGCTTTTACCGTTAATAAGTTAATTAGTCTGTGATAACTAACTTATCCGATAATTCAAGCATATAATTTGGCTAATATTCAAAGGGAAATTGCGTTTATTAAAATCCATGGGAAGTATGTGTAGCATTTCAATATTTTATAACAAATTAATCAAAATCAGGTAAGTAAAACGATGCCAAAATTTCAATTCTATAAAACTTTTTATCAACATTTTTTTTGTTCTAATTGAAAAATTTAATGTTTGGCCAACTAAGACATATTTCTTTATTTCTTTTATCATTATCTTAGATCCTAGAACATCCGTACAAAAGCCTCAGATTCGAACTCGCATCCAACTAGTTTAGATATTCTATTTTTCCTTATTCATACTTTTATTAAGTACTTTGATCACATTTCTAGAGCAACATCAAATCTCGAGCTTCAATTCTGAATTCGGTTTATGTGTTGTAAAACGTCTTAAGATTTCGCATATCATACTGCACCAGTGTGGCCGCATGTTTTACACAATTTTCTTCCACTCAACGGAATGTCAGCATATTGGCTGGCACGCCCATATCATTGCCCCAGCAACAAATCACATTGACACCCACAATTTGCACAACCATGCCCACATAGTTGCGGGGGTCGCAGCCCAAGCATTCTGACCATACCAGCAAGAAGAAACAAAAAAGGAAAAAAAATAGGATAAAAAAAAAACTGAAACAAAAACAAATTACAACTGTTGTAAAGTGTCATTTTTCAAAGTGCAGAGCAATAGAGTGGGAGGTGGAGGGGTGTGCGTGGTTGGCAGCTGGGGGTAAAACGCAATGTAGAAATAATCATAATGGCCCAGCGCATATTTGAGACGAAATCTTGTGTGGAAATGTTACAGAAGCAACAGCAGGAAAAAAAGCAAAAGGAAACAAGCAACTGCAAAAACAACAATAAGAAAAATGTGAGCAAATTTCGCTGGCAGCGCAAAAGAAATGAGAAACAAAAAAGCAAAACAAGAAAAGCATCAGAAAAAAAAAGAAAACTAAACCAAATTCCAATTTGTCAGGAATTTGTTCAATTTCAGTTTTGCTTTGTTGGGTGCTTCGCTGGGCCTCCCTCCGCTTGCCGCTCTCCACCTAACCATCTGCATGCTCCACACGTGCCGCCATGCAAAACCATAAGCATAACGGCTGTGCCGACCTCCACTGGCCATTATGGAGCTACCACGACAAATCGCACACATTTAACACACACACACACACGCATTCACACTTACGAAAAAAGTGCATACTTAACATCCACACAAAAAAGAGCAGCAGGCGAAGCAGCTGCTCAAAATGGCTCAAACAACGTCGCAGCTTGTCGCCTATTCATATCGATAGAGGTGAGCCTCCAGCTCGTGACGCGTGTCATGTCAGTCTATGTATTCCTTGGTAAATATTAATGAAAAACAACAATACAATAATTTTTTTATATTTTAATTTCATATAATAATCATAAGGCGCGACAATTGCAAAGTTAGAGTGTGACGCTTACTTTTGCATACGATTAAGTGCTAAAGCTATCGATATGCATTAATAATTATATGCATGCATGTGCATACCTTCATATGTACAAATGACCATGCGTAACCTTCTTCTTGCTGAGCCTTGCGCACTTTGCTTTTACGCTCTCTTCATTTACATCGCACTCTCTACTCAAGGCGACGGCTAAGCCTAATCGTCGAGCTTCAGTACGCATACAGCTTTGATCGCGATCGGTTGTATTGTGAGTAATAATAATAATTGTGTGAAACGAAATTTCGCGAAGAATAGAACTAAGCAACGCAAAAAATTGAGCAAAAATGTGCATAAGAAGCACTGCAGCTGCAATCAAGTCAAGGTAGGAAAAGCATATACATATGTCTTCACGTACAAATACGTATGTATACAGATACGTTAAAGCAGGAAATTAACAACAGGTGATACTAACTGTTATTATGTATACATCGATGCGTTGATATTGACGAAAGGGCGGGCAGACTAAATTATTTGCATACAATTTCAGAAATATGTATTTGTATAACACAAGTGCTTCTTTTTGTCTGTTATACAAGTTTTCAAAATGATTGAAATACTTTTATATAACTTCTTACCGCGCTATGATCCACACAAAAATTTGTTAGCAGAAAATACGATAGTGGTACTGTTGTGATATAAAGCTTAGGTAATTTTTTACATTTTTATATATTATATAGTTTTTAATTTTTTTTTTCTTTCAGTTTTCTTGCCTTCTGAGCAGTTTGTAATATTTAGTTTTATATTATTGATTATTTTATTAAATGTTTTTTATTTACTTGAATTTCTATTATGGTCACTTTTCGTGACTCACGCGCCCATCGCTAGTTAATGTAGGCAGCAGAAATTTTTGGCTTTTGTACTTTTGGCCGCTTTCCTAATGACATTTGTATGCGGACCTGCAGACATGTGCAGCAGGGCGATTTAAACTTTCTGGAGGCCCTGGTTCTTAACTCATAAACACTGCAGCCTGCAGCTTGACTTGAAATGTTGAAAAGCGTTTTGATGGAGGAACGGAAGGAGGGGGGGGGGGAGACATTGTAAGCGAATTGCCTTTGGCCCTGTTGGCTACCAAAATGGGCGGCATTATCGTATGTATCGAATATGCCAAACGATAACGGTAAATTTATGTTAAGTGCAAGCGCCAAAAACCAATTGTGTTGCATAATTTTAGCGCATTTACAAGCATCGATTTACCTCTGACAAACATATAAATATTTGAAAATACAGTTGAAAGCACTCAATTGTTGGCATTCTACACAAACTCTCTCATTCCCTTTCGATACATATCCAATAGCCATGGATTTGTGTGTGCGTGTGTGTGCTTGAGCGTGTGTCCGTGCGTGTGTGTGTGTGTGTGTGTGTGTGGTGAGGGCTTTGTAAATCTGTCGGCGCTTGTGCGTCGAGAGTTTTAATTGAATTTTGAGTGGCGTATTTAGGGATTTGTTTATTTTTAATAGAAAGGCCACACAGAGAGAGTGAAAGAGCGGGAGAGGGACAGACAGAGCGAGAGAGTGTGAGAGCGTGAGCGACAAAACAATGGAAAGCAATGATACAATTCCGATGCGAATGGCAAATACAACAAACGCTCGAAAAGTTTTTCATTTTAAACAATTGAAAGGGAACATTTTTGAGCATCAATTTTACTTTTTACGCAACGGAATGAAAATTGAATGAATTTATTTGTTATCAAATACAAGTTGAACAAGTGAAGTAAATGAATGCGAGTAGAATGGCAAGGGTAGGGGCAGGAGGTTGCATTTTAGGTTAGGTTTTAGTTTAAGTTAGGATTTTATGTTAGATTAGGTCTTTTAAAATATTTTTTTTATTGATATGTCTTGTTTTTGAAAGATATTGTGTTGCCCTTTCTCTATATATGTTGTTTATGTTTATGTTTTCTAAACTATTTTATGCTCGGATAAGCCTTCAGTTATTTTTTCTCTATTTTTTCGG